CACAAAATTAACGAAATTTATTTGGGAATATTTCTTAAAGGAAGACATTTTAATATGACATGGTTGAAGAGACGACTAAATGGAAACGTCAAGTTAAAAACCGTTAATGTTATTTTTAAATTGTTGAGATTCTATCCTTCTTTGAAAAAATATTAATTTATAATTTTATTACTTTTATATAATTTTATTGTGTACACCGTGATCAGGGCGGGACCAGAGAACTCGACTAAATAAATCACATCATGTTCTGGGTTTGAATGACAGTAATGGCTTATACCTGGTGGAGCCATGTTTAATATTATGGTTGTAGCATGAACGTGTCAGCTCGACCGGAGAGGAACCACGTTCTTAATCACCAGAATACTAGCGCGAAGTAGTTGCTTAATGCTGTTGTGTTTTAAACAACACACACTACAACACTTTTTATTGGAAACAAGGCATTCCATCTTAGCCGTCAGAGGTGACAACGTATCTGCATTTTTATCGCGGATGAGTGTACGTACCCATAGGTGGGCCTCAACATCCACTTAACGTCGGGTAGGCTAAGTGCACGTTTTTTACCCTTATCCTATACAAAATAAAATCGCTGATATTTTATAATGATTACTTATATTTACGCGAACACTACACATGAATATAACTAATTTTTAGGATTTTATCACGTTTATACACAAAAAAAAAAACACCCCAGAGCGCAAAAAAAAAAAAGAAAAAAAAAAAAAAAAAAAGAACGTTTTTTAATTTTACTGATATTTATGTTTAGTATCAAAAACAAAGCAGTGGAGGTGTTATTGCTTTACAGAAGAAATATGTAGGTAAAAAACTAACTCTTATTTAGTTATTTTGTATATAATATGATAAGTAATATATTTGTCAATTTTATATAGATTTTAAAGATTCTCTTATTTTTAAATAGACTATACCTCGGCCTTCAAAGATGGAAAAAAAATTATGTAACTATTTAGAGACGATATTCTATTGTTAACTTGAGTGGTATTCGTCAATCCATTCAAAGGAGTCAAAAAGTTGAACTTTAAATAAAAATTAGAAGTCAACTTTAAAGTACTGAAAATAATAAAATTATTTCCATATAACCGTGTAGTGAATTAAGAATATCCACTACCCTATATCATACCGTGGGTGTGTTAAAAAGCGACAAAGGTAAACAAATCAGGAGATGGCCAGCTGCGTCTTTCTAACAACAAATAAAAATCTGTGGTTGCTAGTCCGCTTGTCAAGCGTGGCAACTATGGCAAACATTCTCCCCTATGAGGCAATCTAATCAATCACGAGGAGGCCTATGTTCAGCACATACATTACAATATAGTATCTGAAGTCGGGGCTTAAATTCCAAAGGCTTCCTCTATACACTATTCATAGCCATATCACTATTTCTATTTTGTACGTATTCTAAAGCTTTTAAGTTAAAATTGTATTATTATTTTTTGGTATTTTATTAAATCTTTCATTATTAAAATAATGTCATTTAGATCGAACTTCGGGCACGGCGGCAAGCCCCAACGGAGACTAGCCATCGGCGTAGGACAGAATAAAGTGCCCAAGTGTATGTGAAAGCACAAGTGCACTCTCTATTCCCTTACTCTCATGGTCCGATGGGACGATAAACCGACATAACCGGAGAGAGATCAAGCGCAGTACCAACGGCTTTACGTGCTTTCCGAGGCACGAGGATGAGATACTGCCTACTTCCTGACTTCGGTCAGCTACTGATTATTTCTTGACGGAAAAACTCAATAACTGGCATTTTTTGATCCGACCCGGGATTCGAACTCGGGACCTCATGATCAGCAGTCGCACTGCTACAACCAATAGACCAACGAGACAGTCAATTAAAATACAGAGGCGTTGTAATCCATACCAATAAAAATGGTCTCCAGTTCTATTAAACAGAGCAGCATTATAATGACTTTCCACGCTGGTATTCTATGCAAGCGTGGTTCTTCCCCGGTAGAGCCAATCCATTCGAGCTGCAACCATAACACGATGCAGGGTGACTCTACCACGTATAAGCATTTTAAATATTGTATTCTTAGAAGTTACTCAAAAAATTAACATCATCTTAACAATTATTTAAAATTGCTCTTAATACCTTCACTAAATGACAATAAGAAACATGTGAGATATTTCTAATTTGCTTTAGGGACTTTCATACATAGGATGACGAAGGTCCCATCGTTTACCAACGAACCAAAATTATACAGACAAAAAATTACTTTAATTGGAATTAAATACCACGTATGCCTCATCTGTTATAAGAGCCGCTAATATGGAGTTGATACTTCCTATATTCCTATACTTCCTACATCCAATATTAGCACTTAATTTAAGTAAACAATCAAAGATTTTAAGTAAGGATTTTAGTGGTTGTAATAAAGACATCTCTTGTTCGTCTTCATCAACGTTACTCCGTAAACATTTCGTGTAGAAATTTCAAATAATCGATATATATTTTCTAGCGGATTATTAACTGCACACAACCTCTATTTTGATACCTTTAATGCTCTAGAAATTTTTTAGTTCCGACATGCATTGAGGTAATATTTCCACATAGCTATAAGGATTCTTGCACTGCCTTAAGTCGACTTTTACGACACCCACGGGACGACGGAGAAGGATTCTCTTACGTTGCTGTTATATTTTGTCCGTAACCACACAGCGCGAATAAAGAAGAAATAAAAAAATTAAATTAAAATGTCTATGTGAGAAAGGTGATGTGCTGTATGTATGGTAGCGTAATAAAATCCACTCCCTCATAATTTGTGGGGGTCGTAAAAGGCGACAGAGGGGAACTGAAACAATAAATGGGGAGCAGTATCTTTCTGGTAAGAGCTTAAAATTTAAAATGATAAATAAAGGTGGCTCCACCTGCCGAGCCTTGAAGCTATGGTAAATATACTTCTTACGATGCCATTTATGAGAGAGGCCTATAATCAGCAGTGGAATTTTCAGAGGCTGTGACGAATAAATACATGTAGAATGTTTTCATATGTGGTAGAGTCACAATGCAGCTATATTATGGTTGTAGCACGAATGGGTCGGCTCGACCGGGATAACAATTGCTTATTTAATTTGCAAAACGCTCTCACAGAATACCAGCGTAAAATAGCAGTTTAATATTGCTGTGTTTCGTATGGTGAGTTTAGAAATTGACGGCTCCGTGGCTCAGTGGCTTAGCAATGAGTTACAGCGCTAAAGGCCGCGGGTTCGAATCCCGCACGGAACAAATATTTGTATGGCCTACAATTAATTGTTCCGGGTATAGATGTTTGTCTTTGTGAAATTTATGTTTGTAAACTGCCCCCATAACACAGGAGAAAATCCTAGGGTGGAGGTAACGTTTTAAAAAAAAAGACATCCGGAGATCCTTTTTTACTGGAAACGAAGCATTCCATCTTAGTCCTCAGGGGTGTCCACGCATCTGCGTTTTGATTATTAATCGAGGACAAATGTAGATGTCTATGGGCCATAGCACCCACTTATCATCAGGAGCACTGTATGCCCGTTGGTCACACTTATTCTACTAAAAAACGTAGAAGTAATCTATAGAGGAAGCAAACAATGTTCCGAAGTAAAATTTTGAAAGGCTGTAATGAATGAATTATTGTAAAAGTGTCGAACGATTAGTCAATAGCTTTAATTGTACATACATAAACACTCACGCCTGTCACCCAGAGGGGTAGGCAGAGACTACAGACTTCCATTTGGCACGATCCTGACACACCTCTCTCGCCTCCTTCACATCCATACACCTACGCATGCATGCTCGTCGGTTAAGGGTACTCCTAATTTGGCCCGTTTTCAATAAATCGCCAATTTGGTCGATAAATTTTCGCCTAGGACGTCCCTTTCCGACACTGCCATTCACTTCTGCAACATAAGTTTTCTTTGTCACTCTTTCCTCATCCATTCTTTCCACATGACCAAACCACCGAAGCATTCCTTTCTTAATCCTGGTCACAACATCATCTTCAAACCACACTCTTCTCTTATCACACAATTTTTCACCCTGTCATTCAGATTCAGCCCTAACATACTCCTTAACGACCGCATTTCTACTGCATTTATTCTACTCTCGTGCTTCTTCTGCCATACCCAACTTTCACTACCATACGTTAAAGTAGGGACCAACACAGCATTGTGAATTGCCATACGTGCCTTTTTTGACACATTTTGACTCTTCACAATAGAGTGCAGGGCTCCATTTACTCTGTTTCCTGCTATAATTGTATTGCTAGGCAATAAAAACCTGCGGTTTTAACCCACTTGCCAACCTTAGCTACATACATTTCATACCCAGCAATTTACGGGAGAGGTCCATAGAATACTATAATTGCATACATAATAGAACGAGGGAGTGGGCGGAGCCCGTATAGCCACTAAAATGTCACCTAACACGTCAATTCACACGTATAAATATCAACACGAGATGTGTTTTGACGTTACAATCGTTTCCATATTTCGCATGCAAATTATTTAGAAAATGTCAAATTGCACGCTATTTACAAATAAATATGTATTAAAATCTGTCTGTCAACAGAGGGAATCGGGTTTGTAGTAGTAATAATACGACGTAATTTCTTGTATGTGTGCTCACGGCGACGCCTCTCCTCGTACAAAATAAGGTTGAAAGCCATTCTGTTGTGTATTATCTTAATATATATAAATTACGTGTCACTTTATTTGTCCGCGATGGACTCCTAAACTACTTAACGGATTTTAATCAAATTTGCACATCGTGTTTAGTTTGGCCCAACTTGAGAGATAGAATAGTTTTTTGCCCATAAGTGACCCACAAATTTTTTTGCGAATTTAAGTAATTTTAATAGGACATGACAAATTGTCGTCGAAAAGGGCAGAACAACGTCTGCCTGGCAAGCTAGTAGTATTCTGTGGAGAAGTCTATGTTCAGCAGTAGACTATTTTATGCTAAAATAAATTAATGAAAACCTGAGTAAGTAACGTATGAAATCTTGTTACAGGTACAATACGCGCCGAGGGTAAGAATATTTATCAAGTCTAGTATGAAAAACGGTAGAATACAGGAAGGAGACACATTGGTTTTAGGTACTGTTGTGCATTTACTACTTTGTTAAATTGTAATGTCTAAAATATAATTTCTTTTAATTTAATTTTATGTAGAGTAGCAATGATAAGTTGTAACCAGCACTGGGAGACCTACTTACGCTGAACGTTTTAAGGTCATTGCCATTGTATGCAAAAAAAAAAAACACCTCCAACCAACGGCTTTAAGTGCTTTTCGAGACACGGGCTCCGTTCCTGACTCCGTCCAGCTACTGAAGATTTACTGACGGAAAAAGTAAAAAAATTGTTTTTTTTTGTCCCAACCCGGAATTCTAACCCAGGACCTCATGATCAGTTATTTGATAATAGGTATATCACGTTTGTCATAAATACGTGGTAGAGCCATACTGCAGTTATATTAGTAGTATAGTTGTAGCACGAATGGGTCAGCCTAAGCAACCGGGGAAGGACCACGCTCTCACAGAATACCAACGTGAAATAGTAGCTTAATGCTGCTGTATTTCGTATGGTGAGTGTAGAGAACCCGGGATCCTTTTTACTGGAAACGAGGCATTTTTTCTAAGTCCTCACGGATGACAACGCATCTGCATTTTGATTCGTAATCGAGGATAAATGCAGATGTCTATGGGCCACAGCAACCACTTACCATCATGTGGACTGTGTGCTCGTTTGTCACCCTATCATATATAAAAAAAACTAAAAAAATTTTGTTTTTTTGTCCCAACCCGGGATTCGAACCCAGGACCTCATGACCAGTTATTTCATAACAGATATTTCACGTTTGTCATAAACAGTATTATAAGACCGCAATTTCCCAGAATTTATAAGGGTTTCCTTGTATTTACCCCAATAATTGCCTCCTGCGATATTCACGGGAGGAAATAAAGTAATGGATTCTTTTACATTGTCAACATATGACGCTCTAATTCTTTAAGTTGTAGAGCCACCCTACAGCTATATTTATTGTAGCCCGAATTCGTCAGTTCGACCGGAGTAGGACCACGCTCTCACAGAACTGTTGTGATGTATATCGTATTATGAGTGACTAGACGGCTCCATGGCGCAGTGGAGCAACGAGTTGCGGCACGCTTGTAGGCCATAAAATTATTTGTGGCCTACAACTATTGTTACGAATCTGGATGTTTGTTCTTGTGACATTTATGTATGTAAACTGCCTCCACGGTACATGAGCAAATCTTAGTGTAGGCATTACGTTATTTAAAAAAGTGTAGAGAACAGAAGACCCTTTTTACTGGAAACGAGGCATTCCATCTTAGTCCTCAGGGGTGAAAATGCATTTGCAATTTTTTTATTATTATTCGATGATAATTGTTTATGGGCCACAACATCCACTTACCATCGGATGAACTGCGTGCTCGTTTGTCACCTTTACATTTAAAGGTGTTTTATGATTAGTTCATAGTTAAACCATTATATAGTTTATTAAAAGGATGAATATATACATACCTAACCATATACCTGAATGAATATATACCTAACCATATAGTGGCGGGGTTAGAATATCAAATACTCCATATCATCCCGTGGGTGTCGTATGGAGCGACAGAGACAAACTGAACCAGAAGATTGGTAGCAGCATCTTCTTAATAAAGAACGAAAAAAAAAAATACTGCGGTTACCAAACCGCTTACCAAGCGTGGAAACTATAGCAAGTATTCCCACTACTAGCTAATCAATAGGGGAGAAACTATGTTCAGCAATGGACTATTGATGGATTGTAATGGTAATGGTGAATTTAATCACAGGTAATAAGTTTCCACAGAACAGTGAACATGAAACCGTTTTTGTTATAACATAGCCGCATCGTGAGTGGAAGCAGAAAAAGATACTCGTAATATTTTTGCGATATAATATATTTAACATCGCAAAAAATATTACCTTTTCAGGTTTACTTATATTTTAGTAAAAGAGTAACGTTCTTATTTTATTTGTTATTCTTTTCTAAGTAGCTTTATTTTTCAGGTTGTCAAGCAGCGGCAAATCCTAACAACCTCACTTATAAATGGTTCGTGAACAGCGATCAAATAATTGGGAATGTTAACAATGAAATTGTAAGTACAAAGAACTAAGTACCCATAAAGAATTTTTTAATAAATAAAATATAATAATAATAGAACTAAATAATTTTTCCCCAAATTTCAACCATACCTGCATATAGTGTACCCTGCAAACCGAAAAATATTGCTATTACTATCCAAAGTATTTGTGATGGGATTCAGTTATTGGTGTGATAGTAGCGGTTCTGATCTCACCAACTTCCAGACACGCGTGGTGACTTTGAAATTCAAGTTACGCATGCCACTTGAAAAGGTCTATTATATAGGATTACTCGTTGTTATTGTTACGAGTTTGTATTTAGGCTAAAAATTGATTTTGTTTTGCGAGTGGAACTTTTGTACCGCTGAATATCGCAGTACATACAGGGAGCCTAAATCGATCAACCCCCAGCCACTGGTGATCAAACCATCTATATATATATATATATATATATATATATATATATATATATATATATATATATATATATTAAAGTAGGTACTAATTACCATAACTAACTTAACATTTTTCCCACAGTATACTTAGCCAGTATACTTACACAGTATACTCAGTTAGTAATTTCATAATATTATAGTCTCTACGGGTCACGACAGGGAAGCGGTTCTCTAAATTTCACTCAAACAAAGATCGATGCTTGTCAGCACAAAAGAGATTGTTATTTCTAATTTTAAGCGTTCATTTCACGTCCTCAGCGATGAAAGAAAATTCTGTAAGAAACTATCAAGGACACGATTTTTATTAATTTTTAGTAACAAAGGAGCTTACAGTCTATCTGATAATACACTTATCAAGCGATGGACACCTGCAGCCAACTTCAAACAAAGCTTAAAATTAAAACTTCAAACAAAGCTTTAAATTAAACTGGCTTCCCATCTCTCCATTAGACCGGAATACTGTAGTGCGGATACTGCTACTAAGTGGTAGGAATAAGGTGGTTACTAATATTTTCCAATGCTTTCTTTAATCCTTAACCCACTCAGAAATGACTTTACCTTTTTAACTTTGACTTGCAGTGCCCTCGCATAGATTATTCTCCATTCTATCACCGGTCAGAACTCAATCGCTACATATTTTAGAAAAAATAGGTACTGTTACGAGCTTGAGGTTCGTGACAATAAAAATTGCCGATAAAATTACCTAAATTAACACTTTAATTTACTTTACACAAATTAAAACTTAAAACACTAATAATTAAACACACTAATTCACTTTATTCCGCTCCGAAGCTTCGTTTGTCTCGCCAAATCAACACTGCCTCGGTCGTATCTTGCAGCGCCTATTTATATAAATTAGCAAAGAAATATCCAGAATGTTCAAGTAAACACGCGCAAGGTACCGAGCGTTTGAATTTCGACTAGGCGCTGTCGGTTGAAAGATTTGTGATGTCATTTTCTGCAAAGCTCCCATCGCTCTCGTTCCTGACACTAGATGGCGCTAGTGTATGACGTTGACCGCGTAACACTGCCCCCTCCTAAGACATGCTCGTCCCGAGCATTATCGGCCCCATAATAACGCGCCAGGCGATCCACATGGGCAATCTTAGGAGTCCCTCTTGCGCCTTTCTGTAACGGCTCCGCAATGTCTAGGGCTGTCCTATCCCATGGTGCACCAACATTGCACAATTTCGATGCTCCTCTATTACGTGTCTGAGGTCCCTTCACGGCCGCACAACTTGTACATGTACGACACCAATCCTCGACATCGTCACGACAATGGACCCAGTAAAACTGTTCTCGGACCTTCAGTAGAGTTCGTTTTACTCCAAGATGGACTCTTGAACGACCATTATGGCACAGCTGTAGAACATTCGGCACTTTAGCTTTAGGGACAACCATTTGCAAACGACAGCTGTCTCCTCGACCATTGTTCCATTTACGGCACAGGACTCCATCCTGAAGCAGCAAGCTGTCCCATTGGGCCCAATAGCTTTTCGTGGTTGAACTCATCGCTGAGACGTCCCTCCACTTAGGCTTGGTAGCACGGGCCTTCATCCATCCCAGAATCGACTTGATGTCCGGATCTTCCTGCTGTGCATGTCGTAGGCTGTCCTTCCACCCGTTGCTGAGGTGGTCTGTCCTGAGCATCCTCACAGATACCACTTCCTTACTCTCTTGCCTACTACAATGGTTGCAATCTTCAGGTAAAGGTCTTCTTGACAATGCATCTGCGTTGCCGTGAGATTTCCCGATGCAGTGTCTGATAGTAAAGTCGTATTCCTGCTGCTGCTGGGCGGTGCTGTTAGTCGCACTTCCTATCTGAGATCGTTCACCTTCCCTTCCTAGGGTGTGCTTAGGGCAGCTGGACCGAAGATGGCCCATTTCCCCACAGCCATAGCACCTAGGGCTGTATCTTTTAATGTGGTCGCGAACCGTAACTGCTGTAACCTCCCTAGCGTGAGGTGAACGATGATCCTGTCGCCGCCAGGCAGTGCCGTTAGCTGCACTACCCTCTCGAGATCGATCAACTCTCCTTTCCACGGTTCGTTTAGGGCAGCTGGATCGAAGATGGCCTTTTTCCCCACAGCCACAGCACCTTGGGCTGTATCCTTTGTTGCGGTCGCGAACTGTAGCTGCTGCAACCTCCCTGACGCGATGGGAACGATGATCCTGCCGCACGGCTTCCACTTCCAGTGCATGAGCCAAGGCGTCCTTAAGCGTCTTGTGGTGCCCGAGCCTCACAGCAGCTCTGACTTCCAGGTCGCGGATGCCGTCGATGAATGTCTGCACCAGGTTCCCTTCAATGAGCGCAGGTACAGACCGGTATGCTTTTCGAACCATCTTCTCCACCTAAAGGGCCCACTGCTGCAGGTTTTCGTTGCTGCGTTGTACGCGATCTTTAAGCTGCGCGCGAAAGACGTGTTCCAGGTGAGCGTTACCATATCTCGCCTCCAATGCCTCAAGGAGCTGCTCGTAGGTCACTTTCTTACCGAGAGCTTCCAACACGGTTAAGGATTGGTCGCGCAGGCCTAAGGTGAGTGCAGTCATGGCCTGGCTTTTATTCCAGCCGTTTGCCTCCATGACGGCCTCGAACTGGATTTTGTAGGCCGACCAGGAAGAAGTCCCGTCGAACAGCGGCACTCTGAATCTACGTAGCGAAGGTGCTGTAGCTACTACGGGAGCTGTAGTTCCATCCCCAAGTTTGAGTTCGTCTAGTGATTTCTTCATGTCCGCCATTACGTTGTCAACCCGATTGTTTACTTGGTCGATTCGGGTTTCAGCTTTCTCGATTCAGTTTTCAGCTTTCGCCATTTGGGTTTCAGCTTCCGACAGGCGGTTGTCATGCTGAGCAACCCTATCCTTCACCTCCTTTATCTCCTCCCCGAAGGTAGCGTGAAGGTCCTTCATGAGGAGCATCTGCTCTTCCAACCGACGGGCCTGTTCCTCTTGTATGCCCCGCAGCTGCTCTTCCAATCGGCGTGCCTGTTCCGCCTGCTGGCGAGCCTGTTCCTCCTGTCGGCAAGCCTGTTCCTCCTGTCGGCGAGCCCACTTCTTATCCCACTTCTGACACCAATTGTTACGAGCTTGAAGTTCGTGACAATAAAAATTGCCGATAAAATTACCTAAATTAACACTTTAATTTACTTTACACAAATTAAAACTTAAAACACCAATAATTAAACGCACTAATTCACTTTATTCCGCTCCGAAGCTTCGCTTGTCTCGCCAAATCAACACTGCCTCGATCGCATCTTGCAGCGCCTATTTATATAAATTAGCATAGAAATATCCAGAATGTTCAAGTAAACACGCGCAAGGTACCGAGCGTTCGAGTTTCGACTAGGCGCTGTCGGTTGAAAGATTTGTGATGTCATTTTCTGCAAAGCTCCCATCGCTCTCGTTCCTGACACTAGATGGCGCTAGTGTATGACGTTGACCGCGTAACAGTACTATCAGTGCTATTAACACAAATAATTCCCTTTATTCACTCACTTGAACCGTGTTCGATCTCCGCCGGCACCAATAAAATTGTTAATTGCAATTTTAAGTGCTGATTTACCACGTGCTCGGTGGTGAAGGAAAACATCGTGAGGAAACCTGCATGTCTGAGGAATAAAAAAATATTTCGAAGACATGTGAAGTTCGCCAACACGCATTGGGTCAGCGAGGCGGACACTTCCTCGCCCTAAAACCCTCTCAGAAATTAGGGGAGACCTGAGCCCAGCAGTGGGACGTATATAGGCTGTAACTTTACTTTTTTTAATCACTCAGAATCATTCGCTAAACTTGTGTTATTAGTTACGACAGTACTGGAATGGCGGATTCGAATCTACAAGCTTTATGTTTCATACCATTCGGCTGGTGACTTAGTTTCTTATCAGTTTATATGGGGGATGAAAGGATGCTCGCTGTGGGACGTGTATAGGCTGTAACTTTACTATTTTAATTTTACGCAGGAGTGATTATGCCTGCAGAACGAATGGTTTCCCTTATTCTAGTTCCAGTAAAGTTTCAGTTCCAATAAAACTTTAGTTCCAGTAGTAAAAATAACGCTCACACATAATACCAGCGTAAAATAACGATTCATTGTAACTTAGTCCCCAAAGTTGACAACGCATCTGCGTTTTGATTATACCAACAGTTGCTTCTTTAAAAAAAATAATATTTTCCATATTTAAAAATAATTTATTTCATAAACATGTCGCAACACGTTATCCCTAATAAAAATGGCATCACCAGTGCTCTAAAATTCAGTTTTCTTATTTATGTCCTTGGGGCTTTAAAAAATATTGTAGCTCACTTTACTTATTCCCCGGTTTTAATTTTACAAGTAACATTTGCATGTCGTCGACGTTGCGGACCTTCTCAAAAATTCCCACAGGATGAAATTTTCAAATTTTGTCTTGGCAACCCAAGCACCTGCAATATGCATTTTGCATTAACTACGCTACATTCAAGAGATACGTACCCGAGCTAAATAAATTAAACGTGAATTATGCGCCGTGAAATTATCTTACCGATTTCGTTGTGGTGATATAAAATTAATTTTTTTACATATTTCTATTTTAATTGGTCCCAGCCAGAGACTGTAAAAACATATTAAATATTGTGTTGTAGGTGGGTTCTCATATCGTGTGCCAACATATCACTGACACCTTAGCGTAGAGTTGCTTCTGATGTACCAGCAGTAAAACATTCAGACTGCACAGGTTCTTCGATATGCGCATTCTTTGTCTATGTAAAAAAATGTTTGGGCACTTTCATTTTTTTGCTCATCTTTATGGTACCGTAGAAACTCAGCGATGAAACCTTTAAATCGAAAGCACAAATCTTCTGGTTGCTCACTCACACATATTATTAGGAGGAAACCTGTATATATTAATCAATGGCGTATTTTTCGTATATAAATAAAAATAGGTAATAAGATAATAACTATAATAATATAAATTATTTTATAAAGGATTCATTTTTGATTTACTATTTAAATAAGAATATAGTGATAAGTATATATGATTATATTCTAATTTAATAAAACGTATAAATACAATTTATACATGATAGAGCCATGCTGCAGTTATATTATCAGTATAGTTGTAGCACGAATGGGTCTGCTCGACCTGGGAAGGACTCTTACAGGATACCAGCGTAAAATAGTAGCTTAATGCTGCTGTGTTTCGTATGGTGAGTGTAGAGAACCGAAGACCCATTTTACTGGAAACGAGGCATTCTATCTTAGTCACACGGGTGACAACGCGTCTGCATTTTGATTCGTGATCGAGGATTGGTGTAGATGTCTATGTGCCGCAGCAACCACTTACCATCAGGTGGACTGTGTGCTTGTTTGTCACCATTAATCCATAAAAAATATATTAACCAAGGGCATATTTTCGTATATAAATATAAATAGGTAATAAGAGAGTAACTAAAATAATATAAATTATTTTATAAAGGATTCATTTTTGATTTACTATTTAAATAAAGATATAATAATAAGCACAATATAAATTCTTTGAAATTTTATTCACGTTTAATATTTATTTTACCGCTGACCAATTTTTCTAGATCTCAATTTTTCTACTAGAAGTCCGCCTGGGTAGCAAAACTCTTGAATACTTCTGCCGTCAAACAGCGGTACTTGCACGGCTGTATTTCAGTCTGAATTGTAATTAGAGGTAGTATATATACAGAGTATGAGGCATTATATCTTAGTCCTCAGACGTGACAAAACATGTTATTTGTTTGAAGATGGTTGCAGGTATTCACTGGTTGCAATCGTTTGTAACTTAAGTTTTATTAAAAAAACAATAGATAGGTACTTTGCTATCTCATTTCACTAAACAAGCATATTTACTCTCATTAAAATCAAGCGCAATAAAATAACCAAACTCAATTCCGTACTGTAAATAATTCATTAACGGTATAATTATTCGCTTTTCCTTTCTTCCCTTTTCCTTCTCTAAGCAAATACGGTGCATCGGATCGTAGAGTTTTGTGTTTTTTTTCTCGTGATAAACATGTATAGAGGGACAACTATGGCACCTCGTGGGTGTAATAAATGTTTCAGTTATGTTGAGTAATTAATTTCGCTTGTAATTATAAAGTAAATAAAACTGTTTGGTATATAAAATACAAAGATTATTTATCCATATAAAATAGGACTATACAATGTTATGTCCTATGTCTTTCGGCTGCCGATAGATGGCGGTATAGATATTCACTATCTTGGTTACGCCAGACATAAAAAACAAAGACCAGCGACGGGCGGCAGCATCAAAGTTGCGAGACGTCTGTACTGCGATCGTCATTCCACCTGACAAGCGTGATGACGAGGACAAATGTTTCCTCTGACGGGGGAGGCCCATGTACAGTGAACTTTTATGGGCTAATGAAGAAGAAGATGACACAATATTCACAAGAAAGTATTTCTTTGTGCTTCTTCTTCAGATAGGTACCGATGATAGTGAAGAATAGACCACCGCTGGCATGGGCCTCTCTCAAAGCAGGCAGGCTTTGCCGTAATAAACGCGCTTGACGATAGAGATACCAAAATGTCTTTCCTACTTTCACGACAATAACATTCTGTATGTTTTAAAATTAGACTTAAATCTCCATTAAACTCTTCTATCATTTCCTATTATAGACTCTTAATATACTCCATATTACAGACCTAATTTTGATCACGGATCACTAGTGTCCATTGAGACTAGCCAGCATTATGGTGCACGAGCATGTGCGTTAAACCAGACGCAATCTATCTGGAGAAATCAGGTGTAGGCGCCAACATCCTTTCGCACTTTCCGTGGCATGGGGGTGAAACCCCGTCAACTTGCGGACTCCGGGCTGCTGAATTTATTGGCAGAAAAACCCAATAACTGATTTCGATCTGACCTAGGATTTGAATCCGGGACTAAATGAATAGCAGTCACGCTTACTATTGATAGAATAAAGAGGTAATCTCTTATTAAGTATTACTACAACAAGTATTATATACGAAACACGAGATGGGCAATCAATCGATTTTCATTGCGCTTATTCGAGTTTTATTTTACTTTATCTTTTATTTTTAAAATGCTATTAGTTGATAGTAGTCCAGTAAAAACTTGTTTTGAAAAAATGATTTTTAAAAGCTTTATATAGTTATAACTTTTATATTTATTTTATTACGTGGTAGAGTCACGTGGGTGTAACACGAATGGGTCGGCTCGACCGGGGTAGGACCACGCTTTTACAGAATACCAGTGAAAAATAGCAGCTTAATACTGCTGTGTTTTGTATAGTGAGTGTAGAGATCCGGAGACCCTTTTTTACTGGAAACGAGGCATTCCATCTAAGTCCTAAATGGTGAAAACGCACCTGAGTTTTGATTCTTAATCGAGGATAAATGCAGATGTCTATAGACCACAGCCTCCACTTACCATAAGGTGGACTGTACGCTCGTTTGTCGCCCTTATTCTATAAAAAAATTCCCTCTGTCATATCTTACAGTATCCATGGGACGATATAAAAGGTTGTTAGAAACTCTAAAAAAACTGTACAATGTTGTATATTAATACATCAAGAAACTAATTTACGTACTGCACTAATAAACCTGAAAGAAATACAAGCATAACTTACAAGAAATAGCAACACTTGCTACAATATTGTCAATAAGGTCCCACTCGCCAATACATGGAACTCGTATGACGTCGTAACTCCGATATTTTTACGCTTATGTCGCGTCGTGCTTGCGTAATAAAGAGTTTGTTGCAGGTGATATCAAATGTGACACGCAAATATAACGAGGCTTCTGTGAAATGCGAAGTGCACAATGTTGTTGGCAAAAGCGCCGATTCCAAAACCTTGGAAGTTGCATGTAAGTATAGAGATATTTCAAATTACTCATGTTCTAATAAATTCATCATTGCTCTGTAATTTTAAAAGACTGCGTGAAGGCGTTAATTCAGAAAACGCGTTAAAAATATCATGGATACCTTAAAGACCAGGCGTTTCAAAAACTGTATTGTATATGTACCATCTAAAGTGGGTTCCTGGTCGATAGAAAACAAGATATTCTAGAAATTCTTATTTGTATGTCTGTTTAAAGTTTCAACAGTCACAGAAAACCTTGAAAGATATATGTATAAAATAAGTAATATTGTAAAAATATTATAACTATAGTCGGTTAATCAAATGAAAAGGACGTAACCATTGTACTGATGTAAGAGTGTAAGATGTATCCACTACATCCACTACATCAGGGGTGGCGAACCTTTATGTATCAGCGTGCCATTTTTCTAAAGAAATGTTTAATTAGGTAATGGAAGTACGGTAAAATAATTTTGACTTTGTTATTATTGGGAAAATAAGAGTACTAGATACTATCGATTCAAAACTTTTTATTTACTACAATAAATATATAAAGAGTGTTAACTTGAGACATTTATTATTATATAATTTTTGCGTATAATTGCAAAATAATTTTTGAAATTATACGCATTAGTGTGACTTCTGTTGCAAATAACTTACATATGGGGTTGTAAAATCATAAATATAACACAATTGAACTCTAAATTACAGTTGTGTCAACGAAATTGACTGCTATGCTATGCGTAAATGAACTATGCATTCCTTGGGGGAGGCGTGGACTTGGGAAGGGCTGTAATGATGATGATGATGAAATGAATTATGTGTCATTAGCAATAGTAGTCCACGATGTAATTAGGATCACTCGTGTTCGTTTGTAATATAGTACTTCATAGTGAATTGGTTTTCCATCCCTGCACCACACCATATCGTCCAGAAGACGTTGTAAGAGGTGATAGAGGGAAACTGAATCAGAAGATTGGCAGCGGCATCTTCCTGGTAACAATTCAAATTTACAAAATACTACGGTTGCCGCCTTCCAAGCGTGGCAACTACGGCAAAATATTATAAGGCAAGCTATGAGAAGATCACGTGTTCAGCAGTGAACTTAAATAGGCTGCAATAGATGAATTGTTTTGTACTTATTCCATTTTAATCGAGTGAATATTTTATTAATTTCCCTTTTAAGTCCCCTGTAGGAATAATGATTTCTTATATTTACGCGAACACTACACATTGATTAAAACTAATTTTACGGATTTAATCGCGTTTAATTATAAATAATAAATAAATAAATAAATTTATTCACAAGAAATTTAAATTTTAAAGAAATTTAAATTTTAAAGAAAGAATTTTAAAGGATTTTTAATTTCGTATGCTTTCTAGCACCCATGGTCACGGGGGACTGATATTATCATTTAAAATTAAGTGCGATAAAATCCGTAAAAGTAGTTTTAATCAATCCCAAGTTGGAAGTTCTTGTAATGGTCGCGATTAACCAAAGTCTAAATTTTGACTCTCCATTTAATCTCTATGCTCAAAGATCTCAGTTAAATGCGTATGTATGAACGTTTGTGCACGTATGTACCTTCGAGGTCAATTTTCGTTAGTTCGAGAACAAATAATATTATTATATTATAAAGTATTTGTTTGGCCTACAATTAATTGTTTCGGGTCTGGATGTTTGTCCTTGTTATGTATTATGTAAGCTACCACCACGATAGTGTAGAAAATTCAGGGAAGTCAGTGTGTAACGGTATCTAAAAAGAAAAAGGAAAAATAAATATAAATCCTGCATATTATGCATATTTGTTCGTAGTAATACTAATTTAACCTTTGTCGATCCTAAAAATTCAATATCTTCTTTGAAAAATTAAATTAAATTTTAATAGTACTCGTATTTGATTAAATTTTATTGTTGAATATAACCTTGAGATGATGAAACCTTTAATATATTTCTATAATTATCAGACGTTCTTTAGGGAATAATAGGATAATAGTGGCTTAAGAGTGCTCACATTATTGGCTTACAATTCCATTGTTGAATTATTGGAATATATCGGACAGAACAAAACTTTTACAATGAAACTTCAACTATTTTCTGAGAGTATAATGAATAAAAGCTGGTTTTGTATTTTAATATTAATAGCATCACAAAACTTTCGAAAGAAATGTTTTTTGTATGAAGAAATTTTTAAGTCTGAATTTGATTTGCGAGTACAAGATTGGCTTGAAAAAGGGACTAAATTCCTTTTACAGTTTTGCTGTGTTTTAATTATTTCCCTACATTTACACGTAAATGTCCTCTGATGGAAATAAACATATCTAGCTGACGGGCGGGCGTTAAGGTGGTAGCAATACCAGACACCTTCCTCGTCGCTCGTCGTTTGGATGTATTAAGTATGATGTAAACAGAGTGATTATAAAAATACTATTTATGTTATAATCTATGGGATCTTTTGACAGTTCCCATTACCGCCTTTTGTGACATCCATGAAATGAAATGAAGTGATGTTTGTTTTACGCCGCTAATTTTTTACGCTGCCACCACTACCGTAATACTATATAAATGTTAAAATTGAAGCTTTCCACTGCTGGGCACAGATCTTCTGTCATTTATAAGGGGTTGGAGAGAGGGAGAGAGAGAGAGAGAGAGAGATCCGTGGTAACTCCAGAGCTAAGCGTTCGCTGTAAATTTCACTGTATGAGAGTAATATTACATACCTAATAATGACAGAGTATGTTACTTAATGCAAAAAATTTCAGATGGACCCAAGTTCAAAGTAAAACCACAGGATGTAGAAGGTGATTCAGGGTCCATAGCGACTTTGAATTGCATCGTTGATGGGCATCCACAACCTAAGATCACGTGGCTTCGATACGAGCACGAGAGAGTTATTGTAAGTAACAATTTATCTATGGTGGAGTTGCGTGACTTAGATGTGATCCTGCTATATTTTGATCGTACTATTTAAAGTTTTAATAACAACTAAAAACCGACCGAAAAAAAAAGAATAAAATAATTTCCAAAAATAGTTTCTGATATAGGGGCGGTAATTCTTTGATAAATTATGTCCTAGTATTGTCTTCACTTGTTATTAGAAGTATAATCATATCATTTTATTTATGAAATTGATTTAAAATACGCACAAAAATAAAAATCATTTAAGTATGACCTAGAAATTGGGAATGAAGTATATTGTAATATTGATAATATTGGTTTGACATTGCAATTGATCGGACAATTTATTTTTATTATATTTGTTTGCCAATTAATGGCAGATCTTATGGAACACGCTATTGTTAAGATAAGACATTGTTAAGATATTTTAATGCATTACTTGTGATCAACAAATAAACGTATTATTAAGTATAATTTCACTAGGTGATAAAATTCTCTTTCTGCCTTGGAGTTTGTCTGGATAGACACCACCCCATTTCCTATTTCTGCTGCCCAATGGCAGTATTTGCACTGCTGTATGCCGGTCTGAAGATAATAAAGAGCCAGTGTAATAACAAATGGTGAGGTGCACATACCATATTGCCGTCTGAGGTGATAACGCATCAATAGCCTTCCTTTATATAGTTCTTTTTTTAAAAGGCGAACATCACGTGTGTAATTCCCTGGTGTTACAGTTGTCCATTGGCGGCGGTAGTCATTTACAATTAGGTGAGCCGCATGTTCATTTGATCCCTCTTATATTTATAAAAAAAGTTGGATGCTGTTATTCATAAACTGTAGTTGCCACTTACCATCATATGTACAGTAAGTTCTACGTGGTAGAGCCATGCTGCAGTTATATTAGTAGTATAGTTGTAGCACGAATGGGTCGGCTCGACCGGGGAAGGACCACGCTCTCACAGAATACCAGCGTGAAATAGTAGCTTAATGCTGCTGTATTTCGTATGGTGAGTGTAGAGAACCGGAGACCCTTTTTACTGAAAATGAGGCGTTCCATCTCAGTCCTCACGGATGACAACGCATCTGCATTTTGATTTGTAATGGAAGATAGATGTAGATGTCTATGGGCCGCAGCAACCACTTACCATCAGGTGGACTGTGTGCTCGTTTGTCAGCCTATTCTATAAAAAAAAAAAAGTAAGTACAATTTTCACTTCAAATTTACAAAAAAAAATTACAGGAATAATAAAACGGATTTTTTTAAAACAGCGAGTGGGCAAGACATCAAATTTGACCATGACGGTAACCAAACAGTCAGCTGGTCAGTATTGGTGTAGAGCTAGTGTCGAAGGCTATCAGGACATTGAAGCACCCGCGATGGTGTTTGTGAAAGGTAAGAAAATTCCTTATAACATAGGCCTCATTTTTGGTTTTATTGACATTTAATAGTTAAATTAAAAACTACGTTCTTCTCTGTAGTTTAAAGGAGATATAACGATATAACAGTTATTATAACAGCTAAATAAAGTATTTTTATGAGTATATAGAATATGAGTATTAAAGTTTATTTAGTATGACGGAAATGTCCTTTATAATTGCTAAAATTTTAAGTTACACTTGAATCTTTTGCCTCATTTTTATTAAAATTTTCTTGCATAAATTAAATAATTTTTTTAAAATCAATTGTTCGAACAACTGACAAACATCGTCTATACATCACCATGTGTGCCTTAAATCACCGTGAAATTTGAAAATTATGAATTCATTTTGTATTAAGTTACCAATTACGTTCTTTGCTGGGAAGAACACCTTTCGGCATGATAGTGTTGCCTGACTTGTAAGGGTTGGGTTTTTAACGTAGAAGACTCACGCTGCAGCTATACTATAGTCGACCGTGAGTGTAAATAACCGGATATCCTTCGTTACCAGTAAAACAAGGCCACAGCTATGAGCACACAGTTCTACCTGATCTCATGTGTATACTACCATCAAGTGAACTGATTTTTTGCTAGTTACCCTGATTTTATAAAATAAAAATACCTACTATTAAATAGGAAAACCTTGAGAAAGACGTGCAGTGTTTTGTGTTGTAAGGACTTTTGGTTGCAATGATGATAATGGTATTTACATAAGTTATTTAAAAATATATTAAATATAAATAATTTATTATGTAGCAAGTCGAAAAAATTTTTTCCAGGTTAATACTTTCAGAATGATTAGCAACATGAATTAATCATAATAATTTTATGTGGATTTTTACAAGAAATTCGATAAAACCCTTATTTTAAATTAATGAAATTAATGAACATGACTGCATAGTTATCGCCAAGAGTACTAACATTTTTTTCCTATTTAGGTCCACCGAGAATTGTCTCAAATAAAACTCAATATGGCGTTGAGGGGAACAGCGTTAGGATAGAATGCATATCGTTCTCAGTACCAAAGCCAGACTTTGTGATTTGGACCTTTGGTGGACATGAACTCAACTCGTTTCACAACCATGTAAGTTAAATATACATTTAGATCCTATTGTAAATAGTGTCTTTATGTTGTATAAGTCGTTTATCAACATTCATTAATTTATAAATTAGAGTCCATTAAAAGTTTACCCCGATATAATCCTCCCCCATAGACTGCCGCATAGCGGAGATATTTGCTGTAGTTGTCGTGATTTGCAGGCCAGTTGGCGACCGTAGTTTTCTATTATTTTCAGTTGTAATCAACAAGATGTTGCTGCCCATCCTATGTCCTTTCGCTCTGTTGTATCTTACGACACTCATGGGATGATAATAATGTGACAGTAGATCCTTTTAAACCGCCACGATGCTCAAAATAGTTCGTTCGTTGCTTTTAAATAATATAAAGTTCAACATATTATTTAGAATATATTGTGGATTAGCAAATATCTTGTCCATAGCCTGTATAATATGTCCACTAGATATGGACCCCCACTATCAGGAGGATTTGCCTTAATCGTCACGCTTTGCAGGGACTTACGATCGTAATACCAGACGTCTTGTACTTTAAACGCTGGTGTCCGTCGCTGGCCTGGATGTTGACGTCTGGAGTGAACGTAATGGTGCCGCTATCTATCTATCGACATCTATAAAATATTTATGACATTTTCCATAGTTGTCTTTTACGACATAAATGGGAAGAATGAGTTGATTTATTTTCTTACGCTAATATTACACGACAAGACTCATAATACAGACGTTTACACGTTATATATTATAACTTAGAAAATTATTTCACTTCTTTGCTGTACGCATTCCAAATAACGAATCTAATAATTTGGTTTGTGTGCGTGATATACGGTCACCAATAGAATGGAGATCCGTCGAGCGTCTGATTATCCGACGGTAGAAGTATATCTCAGCTTTAAGCATATAAATTTCCCAACTGCTCAGTCTAGTAAGTATAGTACGCAAAAATCCGCAAAAGACGAAGTCTATATTGTGCACTTAAAAATGCAGATGATTATTTGTGATATAAAGTAAAATATACTCTGTGTGTATGTAACTATATATCACTCCGTGTCAGTTTTCCTTCCCAGTATTTACTTAAAATTAATACGTCAGATCTAAAACTTTTTCCACTCGTAAATTTAATAACCGTTATTTTAGAGAGGGAAAAAATATAAGATATTAAAGCAAAACACCAAAAGGTATATACTTACTGTATTTTTTACTATTTGTTGAAAGCCTTGGATAACCACAAAATATCGTCCGTGATGTAGGAAGAAGAAAAGATGTAAAGACTTGCGGACACTAGCGTGCAGCGATAAAGTTTAATTTAGCTTGCGTGCGTGATTTATCTAATTAATAATAATTAAGTAGGCAATTAAAATGCCGGCAAGTAGTGAATATCAAAGTTATGCAACTTCTGTACGTATTACTATTATTTCTTTTGTGTTCTATTTGATTCATATTTTTTCAGGAATATACTTTTTTGGAGGAAACTTTAACGGATCGTATGACAAAATCTACTTTGATCATACACGAGAGTCAATCAAAACATTTCGGCACTTACAACTGTAGTGTGTCCAACTCTTATGGTACTGATAGTATTGAAATCCAATTGATACCTGACAGTAAGTTTTAGATGAATGTTTTTTTAAACTTACTGTACTTTTTATATTATAGAATAAGGGCTAAAAGCGTAAGGGCCAAAAGATCTCTCAGTTCATCGAATGGTAATTGGATATTTCGACTAATTATATCTACCATCGATCTAGAATCATTATGAAGATTTTTCGACACATGAAGACCAAAGTCAAGTGTTTTGTTATCCAGTAGGGTTTCCAGCTCTCGTAACTCACGCTATACAGCAGATTTATTATACTGATATTTTACGTTTGTATATTCTGTAAGCATGGTCATTCAACCATCGGAGTCAGCCCTTTAGTGTTATAATAATAACACTTAACGTTACTGTGTACCTGTACTATGTAAGAACGTATTATAAAAGTAATGAAAGTGTGTGTACAACACAAGTTTTGCACACTGTAGTACTGTGTAATTAAAGTTGTAGCACAAATGGGTCATCTCGACCAGGGCAGGACCACGATCTCACAAAATAGCAGCGTAATGCTGCTGTATTTCGTATAGTGAGTGTGGAGAACCGGAGATATTTTTACTGGAATGTCATCTCAATCTTCAGGGGTGATAACGCATTTGCATTTTGATCCTTAATTGAGGATAACTGTAGATGTCTATGGGCCACAGCATCTACTTGCCATCGGGTGGACTATGTGCTCGTTTGTCACCCAATACTATAAAAAAAAAACAATTTTTGAAAAACCAAACTAAAATCTTTGTAAATATTTTATAAATTAACATTTTATAATGGATTTCAGAATCATTCAACCTTTTCATCATATGTGGTGTAGCTGCAGTAGTAATTATAATTTTAGTTGTCGTGCTATTCACAATGTTGTGTCAACGTAAATCGAATAAGACCGATGTAAAAAAACCCGACATTACCGACGTCGGGAAGACATGTGTCGACCAATTCAAGGATAGCGAGCGTAGTTCCAATATAAGTGATTTGAAGATGGAGTTGCGACACATTGAAGGGAGCTGTGATGTGGTAAGTCCTAAGATAATACAATTGTGGTTGGCTTTGTCGTCGACATGGCCGGGAGCTTTAAGCGTGAGAATGTCTGGGGTGAAAGAAATAAAAAAAAAGTTTACAACGCGCTAGTTAATTTCTTTAACTTTATTGTAGTAACATTTATTATTTTAAGGATGTACAAAAATGATAAAACTATTAGCTATATTTTTTCTCATTTATATTTTAAAAATGTTACAATTAATTATCCCATAATAATAACTTATGTCGTTGACGGTTTAAATTCAAACAATTACACATCATACAGCCATGAACGTGATCAAACCGCTTACACACATCTTGATTATGTATGTGTTTAATATTTTTTATTTTATTAACTATGTGCACATCTAATAGACTAACAAAATCTACGACAAATTTCAATATTTACCGATTTCAAAAAGGTAAGGATATCTGGGTCTATGGACTACAGAGTCCAATTACCGTAAGATGGATAAAGATTGAAAAGCTAAAGGCATTTTTTCAGGATAATTCTAATCATGGATCAGAAGCTGAGTTACATTCAAGTCTTCACCTGACTACAAACCTAGGTCTACCGCTAGCTGGACCAGTACCGTTACCTGAATCTGGCTTCGACAATGAACTGATGAAGCAGTACCAGCGATATAGTGGAGACTTTAATCAACCACTCGGAAATATACATATAAAGGTAAAGCCTTTCATTTATATATTAATTACAATCTACCTTATATCAAAACTGCTGCTGAACATATACCTCTACATATATTGTTAACTTCCAACTTATTTATGTAATCTTTCGGTACCTATTGTACTGTTTAGAAAATTGTTTAATTTTGTGTGTTCGTTTAATATATTTGTATGTTAGTGATTTTTTCTTCTCGAAATTCTCATACTTCAAACAATTTAATTCGACACGTAATTGTATAATAATAGTATACAATTATGTGTCGAATAATATATTTTTTATTTTAGTCGATTCTATAGTTTTTAAGATTAAAGAAAAAAAATTTACATTTGAACTATAACTACTTTTTTACACTCAAAAATATGGTAATAAAAAGGGCATTATAACAATATTAAAGTAAAGTTGAAAGTAAATTTCAAAACTCTATTGCACAAATCTGTTATTCAAAATCAAACTTCAATTTTCTTATATTTTTATCATTTTAATAGGTTACACATTATCTATTTTGTATTTATGATCTGCATCTAAATACATATTTTGTGTACGAAGTATCAATATACATTTATTGTTATGTTCGATACACATACTATCCATTAACAAATTTCACTAATTACTAACAGCAAGGAAGAGTAGCGCACTGATTTTTGGTGCAGTGGCTTAGCGGGTTCAAATTCCGCATTGTTTAATAAGTGTTTTCCTTGTGTGGTTTATATAGCCTTCAGGTAACTACTCAGGGTCTGGGTGTTTGTTCTTGTAAATTTTTTACAGTAGGAAATCCTTATGCGGGGGTCACCGTTAAAAAAAAAACTAGCTAAATATTCCACCAACTATATCTCTTTTAAGAAAAGGGGACGGAATAAGTTTGCGTCCGCACGGGCCTCCTATAGGCTTCCTACCCTCCGTCGCAATACCAATTTATCATTGACATGAGTAAATAGTTATATAAATATAAATTAATAAATAAGGAGCGCAGACCGAATCTCACCTCCGCCCTTTTTTTCGGCAAATAAATGTTGATAATAGTGTGGGACCATTTTGTTTTAAACATTTTCAACAAAATTAATACAATCACAAAAAAAAAAACAAATCACAAAAATAATACTATCTCGTATTAAAAGTAGTATCGTAGTAATTGATAATTTGGATGTATTTAAATTAGTTATTAGGCGTGGCTATCGCTCGATGTTCATTTAATCCATTTAGCGCAAAATAGGAAGCTTTTGTATGTGATAAAGTCACGATGTAGCTGTTATGGGTAAAGTACGAATGAGTCGGTTCGACCTGGAAGATCAAGCAACACTCACAGAACACCGGCGAAAATAGTAACATAATGCCATTGTTTTTATTATGGTGAGATAAGTGAAGATTATTATTGGTAACGAGATTTATCCAGCAAGTTCTGACACTTACTTTTTACTGTTAATGGTGGTAGATATAGGTATCTGTAGGCTGAATCATCTATTTGTTATCAGGTGATCAGGTGAACTATGTGACTGTGCTCGTTTGTCCAGGGTAGGAACACAATCTCACAGAATATCAGCGTAAAATAGCATCTAGAAACGAGGCATCCCATCTTAGTCCTCAGGGGTGACAACGCAACGCATACGCAACTCATTTTTATTTTGATTCTTAATCGAGGATAAATGAAGATGTCCTATAGGCCACCGCATCCATAACTATCAGGTGGAATGTATGCTGGTTTGTTAACCTCATTCTATAAGAAAAAAGACCAAGACGCAATGTCAGTTACATGTTGAAATTTGCTTTTACTTTTATAAAACTTAACATCTACACTAGGAAATTCGGCTGTATCGTGAATTCATTTAATGTACGCAAACATAAAAGGTAAAACACCCAGACCTGGAAAGAATATTATAAGGTTGTACCAATAACTGTTAATGTTTATTTGAATACGCGGCGCGCGACGTCGCAGACAAATGCTCAGGCAGAAAAAATATTTTTTTTTTGTTTTTGCACAAAATTTAGACAACGGCGCATTTCGCGTTAGATTTCTAACCGGAGTACTAGAAGTACAAGTAATAGTATTAGAAGCCTATTTATAATAATCTTCTGTAGCCTTATTTGTTGGAAAATTGGTGCAGGTGTCTTAGACTATAGACTTCAGTAGCCACTTACTAGGTGGTTATACTTAGGCTTACTTGGTAGGTAAATTGTAAATTTGTTTTTCCCTCGAATTTTATAAAAAAAAAACATACTCTAAGCGACGCGGACACAGTGCAAATATTACATGAATAAAATGAATCCTGGCTGCAATCTAACCTGACGTCGTCAGTTAGTGTACATTTGACTTTGATAGCAGCGAGTTTCGTATTTCATTTGTATTGTCACTGCGGATATCGTTACTTGGAAGTGGACATTAATTTTCTCTGCGTTCGAGTTCACTATGTTGCCACAACAATATTGTTGCCTTATTAAATATTAAAACTAACATGGGGATTATTTAACGTATCAAATAAGCAACAAACTATTTTATATATACTTTACCACGTTATATAAATTTGGTAGTTATGACTATACAGAGGAAAGAAAAGCATTTTTTGTCTTATAGAAAAGCGGGCTCACGTGATGGTTAGAGTTTACTGCATTACTAGGTGCGTTGCCGGCCTTTTAAAAAGGAATGAGATCGTTTCTTGAAGGTCAATAACTCGTGTCTATCCGCAAAAATCGCCAGTGGTAAAAATTTCACAAAGAGTCCGGCGAGGAAGTAAATTCTTACTAAACAGCACAGTGGTAGACATCCAGATGGTGTGGATTGTATCGTTGGTTTCGTGATTTGCATTAGTTCATCATCATTACAGTCCTTCATAAGTCTACTGCTGAAAATAGGCCTCCCCCAAGGATTGATACAAAGCACGGTCCCAACCCACCTGCATCCATTGACTTCCTGCATGTTTCTGTCTTTTGGTTTTCATTCCATCTAGTGGGGGAATATCCTACACTTCGTCTGCCGGTAAGATGTTGCCACTCGAGAACTTTTCTTCTCCATCGATTGTCGCTTCTACAAGCTATATAGCCGGCCCATTGCCACTTCAGTTTAGTGCATTGGTTACAAACATTAAATTTACATAAATATACTGAGAAACAAAACTGTCAAACTATTTTTTTATATCAGAGATTTCTTCAAGCTTAAGTTATTAATACGTAATTTATCCAATAAGCCCGGTATAAACAAATTAGCGACAGAGGGAGACAGGTAGGAGATGGGCAGCAGCATCTTCCTGATAACAACTGTGATATAATAATAAAAACTGCGGTTGCCAACCCGCTCGATAAGCGTGGCAACCATGGCAAATATCCCCCCATGAATAACGACGCAAACAAACGGCCCCCAGTCCCCGGCGGCCCCGCTATTCCTGGCTGCGGTGGCGACCATGATAACGGCGGAGCAGGGGGTGCTAAGAATCTCCGGTGGAGGTTCGGTTGCCACCTACGACGACTCGACCTGGCAGCATATAACGCACGCACCCTGAGGACTGACGAGAAGATACTGGAGCTGGAAGAAGAGGTAGACAAGTTGCGCTGGCATATTATTGGATTATCCGAGGTCCGAAGAGAGGGGGAGGACACGGGAATCCTCGAGTTCGGCAACTTGTTCTATCACCATCTGTCCCAAGGAGGTGTCGGATTTATCGTCCACAAGTCTCTCGTCAACAACGTTGCAAAGATTGGGAGTGTGTCAACGAGGGTCGCGTACCTGATACTCAGAATCACCAAATGGTATTTGCTGAAGGTCATACAGGTTTACGCACCAACCTCGACACATCCCGATGAGGAGGTGGAGGAAACGTATGAGGATATTTCCAGGGCCATGCATTCCTCCAAAACCCACTACACGGTGCTGATGGGAGACTTTAACGCAAAACTAGGCACAAGAAAAAGCGGTGAGCTGAAGGTAGGGAAATTCGGAGTAGGGCAACGGAACCGAAGGGGCCAGCAGCTCGCCGACTTTATGGAGAAAGAGGAACTCTTTATGATGAACTCTTTCTTCCAGAAGCGGCCCCACAGGAAGTGGACCTGGTCGAGCCCCGAGGGTTCGACAAAAAATGAGATTGACTTCATTATGACGATCAGACGCCAACTGTTCAGTGATGTGTCAGGGATCGCAAGGGTGAAAACTGGCAGCGATCACCGAATCGTTAGAGGCACACTGAACCTAAACGTTAAGTTGGAAAAGTCTCGTCTAATGAAGTTAACGCTCCATCCCCCTCGTGCTCTAATCCAGAATCCCGAAACCTTTCAGCTCGAGTTACGTAACTGCTTTCAGTGCCTAGAAGATTGCAATGCAGTGGACGATATAAATGATAAGCTCGTGGAAACTGTCCATGCGGTCGGAGCTAAGTTCTGCAAGACCCGCCGCAGAAGAACACAAAAACTTTCTGATCACACTCTTAATCTCATGGCTGTTAGACGGAAGATGAGGCTGCAATCGTCAACAGATTTGACAGCATACAGGCAACTGAACAGACAGTACTCCAAATGCATGCGGCGAGACTTAAGCAACTTTAATACTGCTCGTATTAAAGAAGCGATCGAGCGGAACCATGGCTCCAAAGTCTTTGCCAGAGATCTATCTGCCAGAAAGAGCCAACTGTCAAAGCTGAAGACTGAGCGTTGCAACATCTTTTCCGGGACACCTGAGATTCTGAGTGAGATTGAGAGGTTCTATGGGCAGCTGTACACATCATCGTTGGAGACACACGCAAGTGTGAGTAACGATCCAATAGCAAGTCTTATCCGACACTATACCGATGATATCCCGGACGTAAGTCTGAGCGAGATTAGAATGGCTCTCCACCACCTTAAAAACGGCAAGGCCCCGGGCGAGGACGGAATTACAGCGGAGCTTCTGAAAGCGGGTGGAACACCGGTAAACTCTTCAATTCCGTCCTCCATGGTGGCACTACTCCGGAGGCGTGGAGCAGAAGCGCGGTGGTCTTGTTCTTTGAAGAAAGGCGACAACGCTCTCTTGAAGAACTACAGACCGATTTCCCTTCTGAGCCGCGTCTACGTGCTGTTTTCAGAGTCATTACGAATCGTCTCGCACGCAGACTCGACGACTTCCAGCCTCCCGAACAAGCCGGTTTCCGAAAAAGGATTTAGTACCATAGACCACATAGATACCCTGCGGCAGATTGTACAGAAGACCGAAGAGTACAATCTGCCACTTTGCCTGGCGTATGTGGACTATGAGAAAGCCTTTGATTCCGTCAAAATTTGGGCGGTGCTACAGTCCCTTCAGCGGTGCCAAGTTGACTGTCGGTTTGTACAGTAGGGCTACGATGGCTATCCGAGTACAGAACTAGAGTTCGAATCCTATCCAACTGCAGAGACGTGAAAGACAGGGTGACGTTATATCCCCGAAACTCTTCACCGCTGCGTTGGAAGACGTTTTCAAGCTACTGGACTTGAAAGGATACGGTATTAACATCAATGGCGAGTACATCACTCACCTTCGATTTGCCGACGATATAGTCCTTATGGCAGAATCGCTGGAGGACCTTAGCACTATGCTCAATGACCTCAATGGTGTCTCCCAACCGATATTTCTTAAGATGAACATGGACAAAACAAAGATCATGTTTAATGTCCATGTCACACCTATGCCGGTAGTTGATGGGAGCACTATGCTTGAAGTTGTTGACGAGTACGTTTACCTGGGACAAATAGTTTGACTAGGTAAGTCCAACTTCGACCGCGAGGTCAATCGATGGATTCAACTCGGCTGGGCAGCGTTCGGGAAATTACGACACATCTTCTCGTCAGGTATACCTCAATCTCTGAAAACTAAAGTGTATAACCAGTGCGTGTTTCCAGTGATGTCTTACGGATCTGAGACGGGGTCCTTCACTGCTGGCTGTATGAGGACGCTCAAGGTCGCTCAGCGAGCTATGGAGAGGGCTATGTTCGGAGTTTCTCTGCGTGATAGACTCAGAAATGAGGATATCCGCAGTAAAACCAGAGTGACCGACATAGCCTAACGGAGTAGTAAGCTGAAGCGGCAATGGGCCGGCCATATAGCTCGAAGAACCGATAACCGATGGGGAAGAAAGTTTCTCGAGTGGCAGCCTAGTACCGGTAGGCGTAGTATAGGGCGACCCCAAACTAAATGGAGTGACGACCTGGTAAGACATGCAGGAAGTCGATGGATGCAGGTGGCTCAGGACCGTGCTTTGTGGCATTACTTGGGGGAGTCCTATGTTCAGCAGTGGACTTGATGTAATGTTGATGATGATGATGAAACAAATTGGTGTCATAAAATATTAGTTTGATTTAATAAGCAATAATAAAAAAATGATTTAAATAACTATACATTTTTCACGTTATTTTTACATACAACAAACAACATGCAACGGACATTCCATTAAGCACTAAATGAGCGCTTCAAACCTTACAAGTTAGTGTACTCGTACGTGACAAGAAACGTAATACGCGATGATTTTACACGACAAAATGTAATTTGATGCACAATCCCATGAGACAGAAGGGTATAAAACAGAATCGTTTTACAGTTTCTAGATAATTACTCAAGTCTCACGTGTGACATAACTAAGAGAAACGTTGTTGTAATCATAATAGTGAAGTATTCCCATGGTTTTATTTCACGTTATAAGATATAGTTCTAGATTTAATTATATCATATAAGGAAGACAATCTCTCGCTCAGAATGTATTTATTTCCGGTTTGTGGGTTCCATTTCCAATCGAAGTAAACGTTTGTGCAAAAATCCAAATTTCTTAATAAAACGAGGCTTCGAATCATCTATACAGTATATCTAATCATCGACTTCAGAAAATCTTATGTGGAAATTAATTTTTCCCTCGACTACGAAAGTCTAATCTTACTTTTAAATACAATTTTGATTTAATTAACCTTTTGTATTATTACTCAAGGTAATGTATTACTACTATACTAGAATGTCATAATAGTGGGGGCTTCCCCCACCCTTGGCGCGCCAAAAAAAAAAAAAAAAAAAAAAAAAAAAAAAAAATAGTTACAAAGATTATTCCAAAAGAAAAAAAAAAAACCAAAACAAAAAAATTTTTTTTAAAAAAAAAAATCTTATTTTTCCATCTATTGGAGTCGTTTTTTTTTAATTTTTATTTTGTATGGGACCATCAAATGGGAACGAGTAATCGATGAACATAACAAAAAAAAAACATACACATCGAATAAATAAACTCCCACTTTTGAAGGCGGTCAAAATACAATATGTTAGTTTTTGGGTCTATATCATTATATTGTATTTTACCCCATGTCCCTTAGTCTATTGATCTTATCGCATACTTACATGTATTAGATGGTGTACGGGTAAATATGGTTGAGTAAGTGCCCACACCATAGGCTAACTGATGGTTACGAATTCTTTTAATATTGACAAGAAAATTCCATGCTAATCTAGATCGTACGTGTAGAAGTTCAGAGAGGAAAGTTATCATTCTGCATAGAAACCACGAGGAAAAGATTTTTTTAGATTTAAATATTATTACTTTTTAGGCTCAAGGTCAGAGTAACGGCTACGTTCCATACGTTGACTATGCACGTGACTATGCGCCACCGCTACAGTCTAGTGACTCCTTGTCGGGGTCTTTATCAAGGAGTACTGACGAATCAGCATACTTAAGCCATTGCGGTTCTCTGCGACGTCAGAGCAGCAGTGGGAGGTTAGGAGGATTAGTGGGCCCTGACCGTAAGTATATTTGAATAGAGTATAAAGTGTTTTATTTATATTAATTTATGTGATTCAAATATATTGTTGTTAACAAACTATCCTTAATTTGTATTTCAACTGCCATTGAAAAATCCATTACTATATTAGGGTTTGGCTAATGATTGACGATTGGAAGTCCAAATATACCGCTCTACGCCAATTTGGGTATTTTGTTCTATTATATTCTAGAATCCGCGCTATAAATGGAGATAACCATGTTTATCAGTGGACATTTACGGGCTGGTGTTGAATAACAGAATGGTTCTTAATTATTTAACCGTCATCAATCAAAGATTATGAGCTGTTAAATTTCTAAATATTCCATTATTTCACAGTCACCACTAACAATTATGGAACTAAATAAGGTGATGGGTCTTCTTGCGCCATCACTACAACATTAACGCAAACATATATCATCAGCCTCATAAATTAAATTGGTATCATTCATAAAACTGAAGTCCTACAATTAGATACGTCCGAGGCGTGGCTGGCAAAAGTGGCATAAGCGAGTGAGCGATGATCTATAAACGTATTGCAAACTTTATTGAAGTTATTTACAACTCTTGTTACGTAGTAATTAATTTTGGTCTCTCTTGTATTACTTGAATATCTGTCGCGATCGTATTTCAATAAGTCATATATGCTACAGTGACTGCATATATTTATATATCTTTTTTTTAATTGAGTACGCATCGTTGCTGTCAAGTTTGGCAAGCGGATAGGGAATTTCCTGTTAGATAAATACATATTAATCACGAATATTACATCTGTCGCTAAAGATAAACTGCATGGAGCTTCGAAGAGTCATGCTGCGGATTCAGTAATTTTTTTTAATAGAATAAGGGTTACAAACGGGCACACAGTCCACCTGATGATAAGTGGATGCTGTGGCCCACATACATCTGCATTTAACCTCGAGTAAAAATCATCGAGGACTAAGATCAGTAAAAAGGGTCTCCGGTTCTCTACACTCACAATATGAAAAACAGCAGCATTAAGATGCTATTTTACGCTGCTATTCTGTGAGAGCGTGGTCCTTCCCTGGTCGAGTTGACCCATTCGTGATACAACCATAATATAGCTGCAGCGTGGCTCTGCCACGTATAAAATCTACTGGACCGGGGAAGAACCACGGTCGTACAGAATACCTGCGTGAAATAGCAGCATAATAGTACTATTTTAAAAGGTAAGTAACGATAACCGGAGGTCCTATTTTGTTGTTATCGAGATATCAGTATTTTGTTTCTAGCGAATATATTGTGAAAGTGTTTACAGGCCATAGTTTCCACTTATTATCAACTGGACTGTGAACTCGTATGTCATCCTTTATTTCTATAAAACGGCGTATCCTAGACTGAAAAACGCACTTTACAAAATATAGTGCGACGCCCCTTAGATAGATAAAGCGACGATATGAGAAGTATTATTTGCAATAAATGGTGCGTCAAACCCGATAATTGTGCTAAGATACAAACCTTGGTTATTCAGTTACAGCACAGTTGACGAAATTTATAAAATTTCTGTTACTAAATTTAGTTGGTCGTCCGATTCCTCTTCTGCCTACGAGTCAGACTGGGTATTCTATCTAGCAGTAGAGCGTGCACTGCTGTTTTCTGGTTTGAAGTTTATATAGATGCAGTTTAATTCCAGGCTGCGAGTTATTCCACGTTATCTCACAGAGGTCATAACGTATGTCGACTTATTTATTTGAACTTCTTTGAATGTGTTCACGGGTATCAATAGTCATTTACGAACAGGTGAACTGTAAGATTGTCGCAACAATTTAAAAAAAAATACTTTTTTCATCGAAATTATAACCTAATTCCTACTTTTTTAATTAAAACCTAAAAACTAAAATAAAACAGACATAATATTGAATTGTTAACAGTCATACCAATGGGAAATCCTGGTGTTGTACTCAGCGGAGGTGTCGATGTAAGATACGCGGCTACGTACAGGAATCCGTATTTAAGAGGCAGTGGACCTATTGGTTAGTATGAAAAGATACTTTTTAATTACATTTTTGACATAAAAAATTAGAGAATGACTCTGTGAAGTGTAGGTTAACCTTAAATAGATGGAGTGACGACGATAAATGAACGATGAAGTTGGTTCAGGACAGCGCTTTGCGATATTTCTTGGAAAAGGCCGATAATAGACAGGAGACTTGTAAAGGGTTCTAATGATGATGACGATGATTATATTTATACAAAATGAGGGTGACATAAAATTATATAAGATAGAAAGGTCCTGGTGGTCGCGCAAATTTTTAATTTATGATATACCTTAAATACATACTAAATTATGTCGTCCCCTTTTGCTGATGTATCATATTATGAGAAGTTTTAAATCATTTTGAAGTTTTGAGAGTATTAGATATAAAACTTTGTAGTATTTTTTAAATATAGTTATTGAGTTTAGGATAAAGTTTGAACAGTACATATGCGTGCGTGGGTGTCACTAGACAGTCGATTAAATATGAGTTTTCACTCATAGCAATAAGGATTTTTTTTCAGAATATTTAACTTCAAATATATTTTTAAACACGTAAAATTATCTAAAAATAGATCTTACTGAGTAATTGTAATGATAATATCAAATCATACTGTGGCACTTGAATTTGAAAATAATTAGTCTATACGGCGGACATTAGCGTGTAAACTACAATTTAAAATGCTACTTATTTCCCACTTATTTTAGTTTTGCATCTACATCTATCGTTAATTAAGATATAACCCTATCACCCTTTACAGGTACCTACGCATTCTTTGCGACCTATTGAAGTTCACCGCTGAACATAAGCCTCCATAGTTGCCTTCAGGGGGGGGGGGGATTAGCCATAGTTGCCACCCTTGGCTACTTTTTGTTTATTACTTTGATTATTCTTAACTGGAATCCCTGCAACAAAAGAAATGAAAAAAAAGAATGCGGACTAAATCTCTTTAGGCATTCTCTGTCAGACAACTCATGGACTTTGCATATGTTATAAACCATAAATCCTAGTAAGTTTCACTTTAATACGTGGCCAAATACATACAAAAAAGAGCGTGTGAGAATCTCTTTATGCTACAATTTAATAATTTCAATATAACTTGTGACTTTGTTTTAGCTTATGCGTCCCATGGCAATACAGGACCTACAGCGAAACCTGCGCCGCCACCATATTATACCCTAAGAAGTACTAATCATCCTCCACTTGGTGAGTTTTTAAAAAAAATAATGATCTAATATTTTTGCGCGAATACTGAATGTTAAATGAAACTAATTTTTTTTATAAATCTACTGTAATACAGTAGTAATAATCACCGTGTGGAAAATGCGTAGCAGTGATACGCTGCACGTTAATACGAAAAAAAAAATTAATACGTTCAAAACAATATTATGCAAACAACCCAAATTTATTCCATTTTTAAATAGGTGAACATTATGGCCTTTTCCTCAAATACCAACCTTTCCTGGATGTACTGGTGCACTCCGTCTATTGATCACAAAGGATGATGGCTGAGAGCTCTGATGATCTTTCCCAGACAAGTCAACCCTGCTACAGCTGTAGCTATATGTATAGCAGTAGCGTAGCTACGTGAATGTACCTTTTATCAAAATTAGCACCTTAATATGTCATTATATGAATTAAACTTGTAGTAATTGTTATTGCGCTGGGTTCGAATCCCGGGTCGGGCCATAAAATTAATTATTGAGTTTTTCCGTCAAGAAATTATCAGTAGTTTCTCGGAGTCAGGAAGTTGGCTGTGTATCACCCCCGTGCCTCGGAAAGCACGTTAGGCTGTTGGTCCTGCGCTTGATCTCTCTCCGGTCGTGTCGGTTTACCGTCCCATCGGATTATGAGAGTGAGGGAATAGAGAGCGCACCTGTGCTTGCGCATACACTTAGGCACTATAATCCTGTCCTGCGCCGATGGCTAGCCTCCGTTGAGGCAGGTCGCCGTGGCCGAAATTCGGTCTGGAGGACATTATTATTATTATTAATTTTCATTGTATGAACCAGCACGAAAGAGTACAAATATTAATAATCTATTTTATTAGTTGGCGTGACATCACCATCGTCGTCATCATCGTCAAGATTGGTGACAAGTCCTCTAGCGTCCTCGTCTTCTACGAACAGTGGCGCTCAACCACAAGTAAGTAATTTCATCTAAAGTAATGAATGAGTTAAAAGTTTACTCAAAAAAGTTTTTTTGCCTTTAAATGCCAGTGACTACTACACCACTAATGACTACTACAATATTCCTTAATGTTTGTTTTTACTCAATAAATATAACTATGACCGTTAATAAATATTTTGATTATATGTAACGGTTATATTATTTTACGATTTGTTAAATTCGTTTACGATATCAGCTTTACTCGTCACTTAGGAAAAGTATTGGTCCTAACATTGTCCCCAGTGGACTCTGAAAAAATGAACCTTTGTTAGCTTACCATTACAGCCTATCAAAAGTTCACTGTTCAACATAGGTGTGCCCCATAGATTCCCTCATTGGAGGAACAATTGCCGTAGTTAACTCGCTTGGCAGGCGGGTTGCTAACCGCAGTTATTTTATTATTTGCAGTTGTAATCAGGAAGATGCTACTGTCCATTTCCAGTTTTATTTCCCTCCGTCGCTTTTTATCCCCACGGGACGATATAGGGTGGTATTCTTAAATCGCCACTACTGTCTATAGTCATTTCACTAAATTGTCATAACTCCATTCAACAAAACAGTTCATCTTACAATGTCACCGCATTGGCTTTCGATTCACTCACAAAACCAATTGAAGATACGGAATTTAAGTAAAAATTGGTAAACTCGTTGGAGTTCACTATATATCATATTATAAATATCATGTAAATTGCCATTCTATACTTAACTCCAATTATGCGAACAGAAATTAGGTTTGTTTATCTTTTAATCGCTCAATATTTTATACACTATTATATGCACTAGGTACTTCTTATGCATAGTGGAGGCAGTTTACAAACATAAATTGCATAAAGAACAGACCCAGAACAAGTATTTGTAGGCCATACAAATACTTGTTCCGTACGTGATTTGAACCCGCGGCTCTCGGCGGCGTTACTCATTGCTAAACTACTGTGCCACGGAGCCGCCAAACATAACTTAACAAATAACTAAAATAAAATCTTTTTCTTCAGACCGTAAAAATCCATTGATAGATATAGGCCTTTTGGAAGAATTAACCTTAATTGTCACTTGTAGCGACTGCTTCCCTTCGCCTACGTTGATACTGTTTCCCGTCGCCAGTCTAGGTATTTAACGTCTGGTGTAGACACATATACCGCTATCTATCGGAAGCCAGAAGATTTTCTTGGATACAAAATGAAATAGGGTGATAGATTCTCTTAAGTGAGTAGCACACGGCGCGCATGAATTACATAAATTGACCTAATTCTGAAAAAAGAATTTAGTTTCATTACATGTTAATCTACAAGACTAGCGGTCTGCCCACCGTGATTTATAGATCGTAACAACAGCGCCACCTACCGAGTCCAATTGTAAATCTAAACCATTCAGGGATCCACTTAAACATATACTAAAAATTTCATCAATATCGGTCCAGCCGTTTTTGAGGTTTGGCGTGACTACCGGACAGCAATTGATTTTTATGTATAGATATTATACATATATATATATATATATATATATATATATATATATATATATATATATATATATATATATATATATATATATATATATTATACATGCACTTTATATAAAAAGTAAATTGAATAAAAGTTACAGCATGTGTAAATCCCACTGCTGGGCACAGGTCTTCGCTCATGAGAGGGTTTTAGGGCTAGGAAATGTACACCGTGCTGTACCAATGTGTGTTGGCGAACTTCAAATGTCTTCGAAATATTGTTTTTTTATTTCCAATCCTTCCACATTTCAAATTGTTCATGTACACACACTCTACCTACTTGCTTAACATATAACACTATTTTACTTTCCCAAAGGGTTTGCTGGAAGAGAACTCTTTAGCGTTAAACTCGTCTTTGTAGACCTTATTTAAATATTTAAATTGTTATCATCTTATAGTGGGTACAATAAAGAGTAAAGAAAGACTACAGAAACGATTGATTAATTTTATATTGCATTATCTGTAACAAAGACAATAAGTTATTTTATTTCTAATAATCTGTAAAAATCATCATCATTAAAATAAAAAATATTTCTATACAGGTTCCTAAAGCTTCGCCACAATCATCAGCTCTTTATATTCTCCCACCGTCCAGTCAAGGAAATCTTCAGTCTAGCCAAATAACTACCAAAGGTCAGCTAATGTTTTTTAATATTTTTTTTATAACTTATAAAATATTTTCATATCTTTCTGTACAAACATTACTAAATACCTTATCATCAAAAGCTTTGCACCTTTATATGTTTAAATCTATTGATGAAATTTCCCAAGGATGTGTCAGCTGACAAGCATTGCTTGGAAACTATTCGCACTGGAAAGTTCTTTCCCGTAAGCAGTTTGTGTAGGACGGAAACAACGGAGGCGTCATTAGCTCCTACCTAAAGCCATCTTTCAGACCATTTATTGGTTTGTTCTATCATCATTACAGTTCTTCAGAAATCCACTGCTGAACATAGGTCTCCCACAAGTAATGCCATAAAGCACGGTCCTCAGCCAGCTGCATACATCGACTTCCTACATGTCTTACCAGGTCGCACCTCCATCTTGAAGGTCGACTACAATTCGCCTACCGGTACGGTGCTGCCACTCGAGAACTTCTTTTCGTTTATAATTTATTTAGTTTTAATTAAATTCTCTAATACAAAGAATATAAACGGCGGACTAAATCTCTTTAGATATTCTCTACCAGTAAAATCATGGAGTTTTGACATTTTGGATATTTTGATGTAAACCATACTTTCTAGTAAAATTCACCGTCATATATGGACAATCTCGTCCTTAGTACACCAATCACTAATTACCTTGGTGATCAAGATATATGAAACCACCCAGTGTGCCGAGTGTTTACCTCCCCTTTTTTCAGGATTTGTGTGTGTTTGTGATTGATGTATTGTTTGCATCAAATATACATGTCATTAACCTGTTGTATGTGGTGCCTGAGGTTTATTCATTCATTTATAAATTGCCTTTCAGGTAATGGATCCCATTTGGCAGCCGGTACTCACGTATAATTAATTACTTAGTTAGGTCTGAAAATGTTTACTTTACAAATATTAATTAATGAGTGATTATGTAGCATGAGACTTAATAACAATGATAGTGTGATTTTAGGTGAGTTAGTGCTTCTAACAAGATGAGAATGTATGTTATGCAACGCAATGTTGATCTCGTGTTTAGAATAAGTGTACTCAAAAGAATTTAAAAAATAAAGTTTAACAGCTGATCTTCATCGAAAAAAGTTTCATAGCTATTATATAAAGCATTGTTTCTAAACATTAAATAGAAATCATGACGTCCTGCTATTGAAATATGTATATACTTCTAATATATTGTAATTCAGAACTTAAGATATTAAAATAATTTATTGAACGGACTTATATATACCCCTGTCAATTGATAGATTGTGACCTTCATAAAACTGGAACCCACGCTTCTGAATGTTGCATTCCCAGTTTGAGATCCGATACATTAGATTAATTTATTTTACATATTATGTAATTTCAGATTTAAAAATATAGGACAAATTAATTAACGGCTAATTATACTGATTACAGCAGTAAGTTTGTCATACCTTTTCAAGGCTTTAATAAAAATATTCGTGAAATGAAAGCCTAAAATTGTGAAGCTTTAACTATAGATGGCAAAGATTATTAATATTAAGTAAAACTTATAGTTTTTATGTAATTATTGACTAATAAGCCTAATTACATAGTTAAAAATGTAAAACATTTCTTAATCATAATGTATATATTAAATTTTTCGTAAAATTCTTAAATATTCTCTACCCATTCCTCTATCCTGTGGATACTTTTATCCATTTGGTATAAAGATTTAAAATAAACAAGAGATATGTTTAGGAATTCTACATTCGGTTATTTTTAAGACTGATTCTAATGTATCTAATTTGTTTGTACTTAGTTCAAGAGTATTTTTATTGTCTAATCATTCATTTAATTTTCAATTTAAGAATAATATTAAATGGAAGACAAAGAGTTCGTATAACTTACAGCGCTAGATAATGTTAATTTTAAAATCGTGTAAAACAAGGAAAATCTACAACATGATGTGTTTTCTTGTAATTATTCTTTAGATACTAAATAAATACGGTCGTTTTGATAAGGTAATGAAAAAGTCAAAAGCTGGGTCTAAATTCTTTAATTCCTTTTATTATGTTTATAACATTCCCAAATGATATATTTTGTGTGGATGTTTTTTTTACTATTACACTTCATGTAGTGCTGTCGATTTAACAATAAGGATTGCGCATAAACCTATTGCCCACTAATGATATTTTTGGAGAAGCAGGAGTTTGTGAGTCTATTATAGTAATTACATTTAATAATGTACTATACATGTGTAATGTACTGCACTGTAATCAGTGGCAGATCACAAGTACTATTGTTGGCCGCCTGATTAATTTGCGCTTTTTGGGGTATATCACTTATGATTTATCAGTAATATGTTAATACAGTGGAGGAATTTCGCCCAAAATGCTTATGTGTTGTCCGTCTTACTCAGTTGTGCTATTTGACTTATTGTACTTAGCAAGATAAATTATTAAATAAAATGATACAATAAATGGTGTGTAAGTCGCGTAAAATTTTTCTTTCTTCGATGAAATAAATATTTTAATAACACAAATTTTGCAAAAATTTAATTAATTTCAATTTGGAACATAAATAAATTATTAGTCCTTGATTGCCTACAGTTATGCAACACTCTTTGTATGTGTAAGAATATGTAATGTGTGCCTTTACTTATTTGTGACTATGTTCAATTAATGTATAAACCTCCTTATTACTTTCCTCTTTATAAAAATTAAAAAAAAAATATCGTGTGTATTTTCATTTTGTAGTGTATATAAATGATAAACTTTTTTACTTCAAACTTTAATACAGTTTTAATTATACGATACAATGGAATTGAAGAACTTACTGTCCTTAAGAAAATTTAAATGTAATTTATACAGCTTATTGACGTCTTTATTATGTATGGTTTTAGTATAATTTAAATTTCCTACGAATGTGTTGAGAATTCTAATAAAATGGAATAAAAATAACTTATTTGATTGTTTTTGGTATTCACCCTGTTTTAGCCGATTTCAAGCTGACACACTTTACTAAATTCATTTTAAAATTTTTTATTTAATTAAATAGGATATACTTCAGGGTAAATATGAAATTAATTTTAAGAATTTTTTTTTATACTTCATTGTGAAACGTAGGATATGAAACTTTACGAGTTTACTCGTAAATATCTACTAATCAAAGTACATTTAAAATTGTATAAAATAAAACTTAGAAGCCGATTTCAAAATACAGAAAAGAATGAAATAATATCCACATAATATCTTCTGAAGTCGAGGCTTTTATTCTATAAGAAAGGCTTATAGTACATACTTGAGTGCAAGTGCATGCACTATAAGCCTTTCTTGTGCAGATGTGTAGACTCGAAATTCATTCTAGAGGGCATTATTACAAGCACATGTGTACTCTCTATTCTTTTATTCTCATAGTACGATGTGATGGTAATCCTTAACAACGGAAAAGAAATCAGATGCAGAATCAACGGCTTCACATGTTCAAATACATCAACAAATGACAGGATTGGTTTCAACTAAATCAAGGCTACTAATGACTTTGTTAGCACGTCTCTTCACTGAATTTAACGCTGCTAGTTGCCATTTTGCAGCACCAGCCTATATGTGACAGCATTACTCCATGTACGACCGAACTTGCACTTTATATGAGGTAAGAAACCGCCCCGGAGTGAAATACCACCGCACCTTTGCAAAGGCACCTAGTTTCCTTATGGCTGCTTTGGCCATAATAAGCTGACCATAGTTGACGTTCGGAGAAAATTCAACCCCTTACAACTGAAGGCGGTCATTGTATTCCAAGGATACATTCCGGAAAGTAGGAGTTAGGGCGAGCGGGCTTCTTTCAGCAGGGAAAACACACGCTTGTAAAACACAAACAAAAGCAAAAAGGCGTTGAATCTCACGAGATTGGCATCGCCCCATTCGGAGACTGTCTGCAGTGAGAGATTCGCACGTTCAACCCTAGCTTCACTTTCGGACTGAATTTGATCTCGACTGTTCCGAACATTTGGCTGATACCTCTCCGCAACTGTGCTGTCGTCTATTTACCCATAGGTACCGGGAATAAGCAGATCGTTAATATACTGCAGGAAGAGAGTTAAGTAGAGAAAGGACCCCTGAGGAACTACGTATGTCGTGAAAACCAAAAGGCTAGCATTCCAAACCTTGTCAAAGGTCATCGAAACATCAAGGAAAACAGCAAGTGTTTCCCCCACTGTTCTTAAGGGCTTCACCCCATATGTGAAATATGCTAGAAGGTCCCTAGTTGATCGATTTAGGCAAAATCTGTACTGATGGTCACTGGGGAGATCATTCTGCTCTAGGTATGCCATGAGGGGAGCGTTCAATATAGGCTCCATAATCTTACAGGGTATAGAGTTATATAGTTGAAAGAGTCGGTAAGGCTGACCTTTTTAGGCTCTGGCTGCACATTGGATAGCTTCCAAGATCTCGGCACTATTCCAGTCTTAAATGATAGGCAGAACCAGCGCGCCAACACAGGAGCAACTTTGGCGCACAGATCTTTCCTATTAGCTCCACCAGCTTTGTCCACGTCTAGACTTCGCAGTATTTTAGAGCTTATAATGGGTGATCATAGAGGTTACCTCACTGAGAAACCTCTGACATAGAGGTTCTTCAGTGAGTTAGTTTAGGTGGTACGCTGATGCTACTGACCTGACGCGAATAGCTAGCAAACAAAGTAAGTAAATAAGTCCACTTTCTCCTTAGCCACATGCGCCAGATAGTCATTTGGTTTTACCAGCGAAGGAAGTGTAGACCGGCAGAAGTTTGTCTGTAATGCTTTGGGGAGAGTCTGAAAAGCTCTACTGCCAGATGGTTTGACAGAGAGCTTAGCACCGATGCCTTTAATTCGGTGGAAACTGGCTGAAAGACATTACTTTTTGCAATACATGGCTACTTGGTTAAAAGCTATAGACCATACAGTAATAAGTTTCGATTATAATCACACATGTTATAGTGTAACGTAATGAAAGTCATAACACGATAACCTCAAAAGAATTAAATATACCAAAGCAACAGCAAAACTATTCATTATTCTAAGCTTTTCCGCAAAATACTCTTCTATCAAAATCGAATCAAAAAAAAAATCTTTATTTCGTCCAACTTTTGTCGAAAAATAAAATTTTGCTATGTTGGAGATTCCTTTTAAGCTAAATAAATTGCTTGTCCTTGGAAACTATGTAAACTAAATAATAAGCAACATCTTAAATATATAAATTACGTGTCACGTTGTTTGTCCGCGATGGACTACTAACCGATTTTAATCAAATTTGCACACCGTGTGCAGTTTGGCAGCTTGAGAGATAGAATAGTTTTTTTTTGCCCATGAGTGACCCACAATTTTTTTTTGCGAATTTAAGGATTTTTATAGGACATACAAAGTTGTGAAAAGGACAGAACAACGTCTGCCTCGCAAGCTAGTAAGCTATAAACTATTCTATGCTTGTTCTAAAGGTGTAATAACAAGGAAAGTAATAGATTGAAATGACTTTGAAGAAGTAAAAAGTCACCTAACTTCAAAGATACCTATACTACTAATACAGCCTATCACAAGTCTACTGCTGAACATAGGCCGTCTGAACATTGTCCCAAATTATGGCCCTGAGTCACATGCATCCATCTCATCATCACCATCCATGAATTACCTGCGTGTTTCATCAGGTTGTCACTCCATTCAGATGATAATTAGGCTAAAGTGGTAATGGGTTGGCCATAGAGCTCTAAGAACCGACAACCGATGTGGAAGAAAGGTTCTCTATTGGCATCTTCGTACTGGTAATCGCAGTGTTGGCCAACGTGCAATGGTATAAAATAATCCAATTTCGTGATAAAATTAAAAATCCTTTCCTGCATAAAGCAACAAGTACCACCGGCGTATCGAAGAGGAGT